AAAACTACCTGGCTGCTTGACAATACGTTTTTTGACTATCTTAAAAGTTTTCTACAATATTTTAAATCAAGCTTTCTATAATATTTTTTACTCCATACATCCATTTTCACTACTTATTCATTTCACAATTGCGGTTGAGATGGAGCTCATCCCGACTGTCATAGAGTGAGATCCAGTTCTCTTGCAGGGCTAACTCAGAGAGACAGACAGTCGTTCATTCTTACTGCCAATTTAGAATCACAATTAAAATAACATGAATGTCTTTGGACTGTAAAGAAGCCAGAGCACCCAGAGAGAGCTCACACAGACACGAGAAAAACATGCAAATTCCACAAGAAAGGCCCCAGTCTGGATTCAAAACTAGACACTTCTAGCTGTGAGGCAGTGGTCCTAACCATTGTTCTGCCATAGTAGAGGCTTTTCCTTTTTTTTTAACGAACTATAAGCCAATATAAGTCTGTAACAAGCCATCAATTCTTTTTAAAGTTTTATACTTAGATATTAAATAATCTGACCACTCTAATCCTCAGCAGTTTGATTGAATTCTCTAATGGAAGAATCAAAATTTGCTTTGTAATTGTGTTAAACACTGTAATTACAACTGTTATCATGTAGGAACAGGAACATCAGCACATAGTAGAATCACAGTACTTTTGTGCTACCAGAGTCTTTGCTCTGTACCAGGTTTATTGTTGGGCCTCAATGATTTTGATGTGTACCTAAAAGATCATAAATAATTCAATCTTTCTGCGCAATCAGGCTGAGCATCCAAGTTTATAACTTAACAGCCATATTCTTCTCTATATTAGGATGGCATGGTGGTGCAGTAGTTAGCACAGTTGGCTTCCACAAAGGTCCCAGGTTCAGATCGAATCTGGGTGCTTCCTGTGTGCAGTTTGTATCTTCTCCCTGTGTCAGCTAGGGTTCTCTCTGGGAACTCTGGTGTCCTCCCACAGTCCTAAAACATGAATAGGGTGAGTTTAATTGGCGATTCTAAATTAGCTGTAGGTGTGAATGTGAGAATAAGCCCTGCAGCAGATGGATGACCTATCACATGACAGCTGGAATATGCTTTGGAGTGGCCACCACGCTCTGCCATCCTCCCGGTAGCCAGGTCCTGGTTCTTTTGTTTTTTTAGTGATTTCCGTTTTTTTTATTAATCAAGTGTCTACTAGAGAACAATTATGAGTTTTAATTAAAGAAGGCATATTTTAACAGTTATATTTTTGAATTAATGGAAGCGTCACACATCCCCAGAAGCTATATTTTAAGTTTTAGCTCAAACTACCTCAGAGCTCTGTATATGTCACAACTTCACTGCTAGCAGCTTAAATTCAGTTAAGCGGTTGCTACCCACACTCCTCACAGTATGAGGGCTTTGAGGAGCAGAAAGCAACTTTCTCTCTGAGGGGTAATTTTACATGTAAGTAAAGCTAAAATGACAGCACAGCCATTGTCTCAAAGGTCTGTGTGCTGTGATTTTGTCACACAGTGAACAGGATTACGACTCTGACAGCGCAGACCAGCATCTTGGGCCTCCTTAGTGTGACTGTCTCAGTGACGGTCAGCTGCTCTGGCAAGAGAAGCTGACTGAAAAATATGGAAATGAGAACAACTTTACTGTGAACTTGGCTGTTAAAAAACAGCTCCAAACTGATGTAAACAGCTGACAAAAAGCCAGCTGAGTCTAACTTGCACTGAGCACAAAATCACAGTAACCCACAGCCCTTTCTTTTTTTAATTGGTTTCCAATCTGCCTTAAAATTGATACTGTTTCTGATTGTTCTTCAATTTTGGCCTTACTCTAACACTGTTTTCTTCCAAGCTAATACATTTTTACCACAGTCACAGTGTAGTGTATGTCCTAATGTTATAATTTAGCAAGTGTCCTTCACTGAAAAAGGGTAACTATTGGAGCTCTAGTATCTAACACTGCTGTCATGCAGATGAAAGGCTGAGAAGTGGTTTTGTATAAGATGAAAGGCTTCCATGAAGGCAGACAGTGTTACAGACCTGTGCATAGCTGCTGTGATCTGTGGAAAGTGGATGACTAATCAGTGAAGATAAGGATAAACTGGCTAGATAAACACACAGATAAAAAGATAACATTTAATTTGTTATAAATGACGTCTGTCTATAGATTCATTTCTTTCTGTGGAGGTTTCAGTAACACCATACAGCAATAATTTAGATACAAAATTTCACAAGCTACATACTGTCCTGCTGTTGGATACATGTATTTGTCTGTCTAGCCACTTTGATCCATTGTTGTGGCTGCATTTTGGACACCTTGCTTTGTCAGTGTAAACCACAGCCTGTGGTCTGGAGACAGAGGGATGGTGCAGGCCTGCAGGTTTCAGATGACCACTCCTTTGTCTGTCCAACACACACGGCTGTAGCCATCACGCTGCACAAAGCTTGCAAATGCAGAGAAGGTAATGCAATTAACCTTGTTGCTGCCTCATACTTAGCACGGAGATGTGGGATGTCTTATTAAATCCAAGAGGCCACAACTGAAATTTGTAATTATTTATAGATGTTTTTTCTCTTGCAGTCTAACTACAACTGCATGAGGAACCAATCAGTGTGCTTTTTATATTTTTGAAACATGTTTATTTTGCATTACATATAGTTTGGAGCTAAAGCAGTTCCATAATTAATGTGTGGTTAAATTTACAGTAAACAAATCAACAACACGGCATTTAAGACGATGTCAGGATTTGGTTTTATAATATCCTAATCCCAAATACTGTGGGATTTTAGGATGTTTGGGGAAAACATGCAGATGCCACTTACTGGAAAAAGTACTGTGTAAGACATAATCAGCTGTAACACTAAAACGTCCTGCATTTCAGACGGAATCTCTCAGATGATCACTTAATACAGAAATGAACTCAAGCCAAATGGTCCTAAAAATCAGTACTGCTGTGCATCTTCAGAGAAGCTAATGACCTGCTGCTTTATGTGGAGTTTGCACAAACACTCAGTGTGCATGGGTTGTTAATCAGCCTTCCATACTATGACAAAGTGCCACTCACATTACATTAGGAAAATGTGGCTTTATGTGTTGATGTGGTACACCAGGCACATAATGTTAATTAGACTGCGTGTTGTGTGTGGCAGTTGACTGAAGGTTGCTATTTCCTAAAAAGCCCCGACAATTTTTACACTCAGTTGAAGTGATGGTATTCAATTTCGCTGATGTTCTCACATCTGACTGCGTCTTCACATGTGACTCTTGTCTTTTCATTTCCCCATCAGCGTGAGGTTATATCATCCCCCATTCAGTGTCATTTAGTCAGATAATGAAGCACAGGTTGAAATCCCACCTTAAAAAGACATGATACTGAGTATCAACAGGTAAATGCAGGTATAAATTCAGCTTGATTTGAATTTTAGCTTAACTTCAATTACAATAGTAACTTTAATTGTCATTTCAATCAGGAGCACTATTGAAAAGGAGAATACACTCACTGGACACTTTATTAGGTCCACTTTGCTAATACAAGGTCTAGTAAAAGATTCAACAAGGCAATGACATGTTAGCATATTGTTTTTGCTCCAGATTTGTCAACCGCAAATCCAGGTTGTCGCATATAAAAAGGTTCTCTATTGGACTGACATTTGGTGACTGTGGAGGCTATTTGAGTACAGTGAACTCATTGTCTTGTTCAAGAAATCAGTTTGAGATCATTTGATTTTTGTAAGATTTCTGGAAGGAGGCATCAAAAGATGTGGTCTGTGGTAATAAAATGCAGTAAAAATACACAGTGATACAAAGGGGCCCAAAGTGTGTTGATAAAATAGCCACTATAACATCAACCTGAACTGATACAAGGTAGGATGGATTTGTGTCTCATTTGTGTTGTTTATGACAAATTCTAATCCTATACCATCCAAATGTCACATCATACTCAAAAGACCAGGTAACATTTGTCTAATCATCCACTGTCTAATTTTGGTGAGCCCATTCAAGATCTAGTCTCAGTTCCCTGTCCTAAGCTGACAGGAGTGGCACCTCGTGTGGTCTTCTGCTGCTGTAGCACATCTGCTTGGTTCGATGTGTTGTGCACTCAGAGATGCTCGTCTGCATATCTTGGTTGTAACAAGCGGTTATTTGAGTTGCTGCATGAAGCAATCTTTCTATTCTCTGGCATCATCAAGGTATTTTCACCCAAAGAACTGCTGCTCACTGGATATTTTTTCTTTTTTCCTCTATTCTCTGTAAATCCTAGAGATGGTTTTGGAGTAAAATCCCAGTGTTGACAACCATGTCATGCTCAAAGTCACTTAAATCACTTTTCTTCCTCATTCTTAATCTCAGTTTAAACAATCTACATGCCTAAATGCACTGAGTTGGTCTAATGTGATGAACACGTTAACAGATACCTAATAAAGTGGTTGGTGAGTCTATATACTTGGTGGTAGTGCTCTGTTCTGGGACCTCCTTGTCATTCTTCCACCAATACACTCCACACCCCCCTCCCACCCACCATATACCACAGAGTACTGATCAATTCAGACACAGGATGAGTCAGAGGAGCTGGGTGGAGGTGGGTTGCAAATCAGCTTGTAGATGCAGAGCAGGGATAGAGATGCTAAAACAGCTAAAACAACATATACAACATGAGATTTGCCAGTTTCATGGTTAGACAGTAGCTCATGCTTTCGATAAGTAAATCTTAATACGTTGCTCTACACTGTAAGTGTTCTTCAAGCAGAGGATTTGGATTTGTGTGGCTGTTAAATGCTGAAATAGTGCGATATGAATAATTTCAATCTGTGGTCTCTTCATCTGCAGTCCAAGTTAGATCCTCCAGTCCTGTCAGTCATCTTTGTTTGCTGATGCTGCGAAACTTTGAGTAGCTTTTGAAGATGGAAAAACTGATCACTCTAAATAGCCTAATGTATTTTTCAGTGGGATCTAAAAGGCTCGTAAAGTATTCAAACCATCTCCACCCCCCTCTCCCCGGCCTCTTCTCCACTCCTTCTTCTCTTAGAGTAATGTTCTTTGTACACCAGCTGTAGCCTGGACCCGGCAAACCTGCAGCAAGATGAGCTCGGAGGAGCGCGGCTCAGCCATGTCACAGAAGATCTCCTCCCTGTCGCGCAGCAACAGCAGCTCTTCATCCAAACATGACAGCCGACAGGTAACACTCGCGTTATACTTACAGACGTTTTCGCTGGAGTCATGTATGTGGAAGGGAGGAAGGCTGGATTTTCTTTTCCCATAATGAAGATTTAATTGAAAAAGTTGTAACTGCCAGTCCTCAGATATTTTTCTCTGCCTCCTAGGAATTATAATACTAGTATAACATCTAGCCACGTTTTACATTATAGATGTCATGAAGCAAAAACTAAAAGCTGCCTAAAAGGAGGTGTTTTTTTATTAGGATTTAACTACCCCTTTCTCACTATAAAACCAGGGTATTTCTACAAATGTGGAAGATATTGGAGTGCTCTAAATTACTAAACTGCAACTATATCCTCCAAAGTAATTCTCAGACACACCACATAAAGAAGATGTTGGCACCATGAACAAACTGTTTTGCATTTGCCTCAAGCGTTTATCTGCAGGCTGCCGACTCATTAATTTTTCATTACCAGAAACAGCCTTTTCCTTTTGGAAATGAATGTAATAAAGTCCTACTCTAGTACTGTCCACAGGACAAGCAGACACTTAAGGCTCACCACTCTGGGGAAGCAAAAAGTGGCAAAAAAAAAAAACATTCTCGTTAGCAAGAAAAACTTTGAATAAGGAAATATTCTGACTGTCGTGACACTGCTATGTGGGTTCAGTTACATTCAGAGAGAGCTTGGTAACCATTTTTTCCCATTTGTTCCAAACCAAACCCTCAATATTTAATTTGTAAAGTGTTTTTGTAAATGATAACACATATCAAAATGTGGTAGAATGGACAGGATGTCTAAATGCAGCAGTCTGAACACATTCACACTTTATAATTGTGTGACGTTGAAACGACGCTGTCTTCTCGGCGCTCCTATCAGAGCCTTGTTACTCAAAGTGTCTCTTGACCTTGAGGAACAGTGTCCAGGCAGTGTGTGACAATGACGCACTGTGTGACTGTGCTGCCCTGGAGCCGTGACGAACACTGAGGGAGAGTCGAACTGTAGCCCGCTGGCCACGCCCTTGGTCAATCCCCTTCAGATATAAGGGTTTATTTTAGATTGTCTCACCCACCAGCATTCAGCCTCCCTGACTGATACAGTGTGTTTTTATACAGTCAGGGACACACTGACACAAGAAGCAAGGATTAACCTCTCCCAAGTGCCCAAAGTCCCTCCCACGGTGTAACACAGACATGATTTATACTTAAGTAGGATAATTTAAAGATAAGCCTGAGGTGTAATATGCCATCATTAGCATTATGAGTTCATATATTATGAGTTAATTTGTTAATTATTTCTAATAATTTGTTGCACATTGACAGTAGATGTGTAAACTGCCCGTCATAATGTTTTCAGCTTTTCTTATTATGTCAATTTAGCAGCACAAAATTAATGAAATGTAGTTATTCTTTTACACCTGCATCATTTTCTAATGACTATATGTTGAAAACTGTTTTTGGGTCTCATTACCAACCGAGGTCACTGCGTCATAACTACTTCACAGCCCACTACTGTTCCTCGGGGTTATTTTTGCTGGCTACATGCCCATTCCACTATTATTTATAGGCTTACTGCTAAGTAGTCATATGAGAATAATCTATAACATTGGCTCATTTGAATGATAGACCCCTTTCTGTTGATTAATCATCTTATTGTTTCAGCACTAATAGAAACTAAAAGCGAAATAGTTCACAAATGATGAATTATTCTGTGCCCACAACGGTATTACAGAAGCCTCTGTTATACTATTCATCCTGCGTTCCTGGAACTCTCACTCCTGAAACACATAACAAAGCTATCTGGATTAGTCCGTGATGAAATATCATCTTAATCTCTGTATTGCAGGGGATTTGGGCTTGACCGTTCTAATCTCATTCAGGAAATTATTATTATAGTGAAGAGTGAGATTAAACAGGTAAGCTAATTTTGTAAATTCAATTCAATTCACTTTTATTTATATAGCGCCAAATCACAGCAACAGTTGCCTCAACAAGCTTTATATAACAAGCTTTTTATTTTTGATAATACAAAGAAAACTGAGAAAAACCCCAGCAATCACATGACTCCCTATGAGTAAGCACTTTGTTGACAGTAGGAATGAAAAACTCCCTTTTAACAGGTAGAAACCTCCAGCAGAACGAGGCTAAGGGAGGGGCAACCATCTGCTATGCCCGCCCATGAGGGGAAAGAAGTCTGTATAACTTCACCCTGAACACCTTATTACATAGGGCTACATCTATAAAAAATAAAATAAAAATGCTAATCTTCCACTTATAGAGCCTCCTGCCGATTGACTGACACTGATGAAAGTGAGGCATCAAATTTAAATCACCCCAGCAGCCACAGATTATAATATGTTTTGAGTGTGATTATGGCACTTGCTGAGTGGTTGATTCGCTCAGTTCCATTTATAAATCCTCCTCTGAAACTTTCATTTGCATGGCGTGCAGATGTCTGTCGTCTCAGAGTTCTCATAAACCATTGTATTCCAACAGGACAGCTGGGAAATCGTGGAAGGCCTGCGAGGAAGCTTCAGCAGTGTCCAGGAGCCTCAGAAACAGGAGGGCTACATGATGAAAAGAAGAAAGTGGCCAATGAAGGGCTGGCACAAGGTAACATGGAGCACCTGTGTGGTCTTCGTGTGACCCATGTGACTCATCTTTCAGAGTAGTGACAGCTTAACGTCATTTCATTGTCCTCGTTTCACACGGCACTTTTTAGGCACTTGCCTCTGCAAATCTGCTGACACGAGTCATTTGTGTTTTAAACTAATTGAATGAGCTTATGTAGTAGATAATTTGACTCACAGAGGAGTCACATGTGACCAGGGTCAGTGCCTGTTTACACTCTGTCTGAAAGCTTTTCCTGGGATAATGCCTAGATATCTTGGTGGTCCTCTCAGATGCATTAGCTGATGGCCTGTTGGTTACTAGGGTTGTATACATTTAGTATTGACTTGCAGTCGGAGCTTTTTAGGTCTCTGTGCTTTCAACAGTCTGATTCTGTTGATGTACAGTAAAAGCACCAAGAATTGCATTTACAAATTGAGTGGATGAGACATATTGCAAGTGAGTGAGAGGAAGTGTAATAAAGGAAGACAGATGCAAGACAATAGCCTGGAATTGCATACATCCCACTGCAGCAACATACATTTTAGGAGACTGACTACCATGACCTCAGCCTCATAACACTGACTTTAGATTTGCTGTCAGGGATGTTGCATATCATGTCCAGTTGTATCGCATTGGCTGATTGTCCTTCTCTCTCCCTCCAGAGATACTTTTTCCTGGACAAGGGTATCCTTAAGTATGGCAAGTGCAGTGCTGATGTGAGTACAAAAGGCTGCTGGCTGAATGCTGTGTGAGCTCATCATTTACAGAAGATTAAAAAGGACACTTGATGTCTTTTTCAATGTTCTTGTCAGGCTCCTGACCGCCTGCGCCCAGAGATACAATAGGCCCTAATTCTCTCTCAATCTCCTCATTGTTGATAGCAATCAGACTGTGTATTTTGCCTACAGATCACACATAATTACGCATGGGCCGCGTCACAGCCTAAAAAGGGATTATTATTTTATGCATTGTTTGCACTGAGTTTCATCTGTTGCATTCATAACAGTGAGAGCTGTCTCATCCAACAGATTGAGAAAGGGAAGCTGCATGGTTGCATTGATGTGGGTCTCTCTGTCATGGCCATTAAGAAGAAGGCCAAGTGCATCGATCTTGATGCCGAGGAAAACATCTATCACCTGAAGGTAAACCACAAGACTAATAAAGACAAGGGAATCCCTGCAGGCTTAAATAGGCTTAAGGCTTAAAGGGGTTAAACATTTTTTCCCGGGTTTTTGCTTTTTAATTCCTGGTACAGATGCCATCATTAAAATGACTTCAGAATTACCTCATGTGATATATATGTGTGCCAGAGGGAATAACTGCTCACTCCATACCTGTGTGTGTGTTTTTCCACTGACACACCTCTTCCATCTTACTTGCCCTTGTGCTGATTTTCTGATTGCGGTATCTGCTCTACAGATTAAGTCTCAGGAGCTGTTTGATGAATGGGTATCCAAGCTGCGTCACCATCGTCTTTATCGGCAAAATGAGATTGCCATGTACCCTAACGAGAAGTCCTTGTTCTATCCCCATTATGCCTCCCCGAACTCTCCTGGCATCGCTGAGGGACCCCCTATTAGAAAGGTATAACTGCGCCACACAGCATGCTGTTGCTGAAAATGGTCGGGTCTGTTTAAAATGAAAATGAAAAACAAAGATGATTCTCGTGTGTTTTTCATCACGAGCATCATTATTCCATGTGCTGTATTTAATGAAGTGAATTCCCTTTGCTGAAAAAAATTAATGACACAGCCAAAGTGTTTTTGAACTGACCTTTGGGTCTCTTTGTTACTGCAGTGCCTGTCCATACGAAGGCAGTCCACAGTGCATCATGCCGCAGCTTTCCCTTTAAACTCCAACAGCCAAGCAAAGGTGGCTGCCTGGCTCCAGTCATCTGACGAAATGGACAAATGCTTCAAAGGTGAGAGACAAGAGCAGCCTCTCACGATTTGATTTGTTTACACTTTCTGAATTTCTGAGCAAAATTTCCACAATAAAGAACTTGCCTGGCTAAAATGGGGAGAGCTCGTAGCGCTAAGACACATTCTTTAATGTGGGGTTTTTATCTCTGTGTGGGATAATTTGCACTTTTATTAAAGTCATAAGATGCATTCTTGTACTAGTTGTTTAAAAATCTTCAATTTTCCACCTGGATGATGATCTCCAATGTGATTACGGTTTTGCTGAGGAAAATAATCAACTCAGATAAAGCCATTTAAAATGTAATCGTACCTTCCTCGTATTGTGCCTTTGGCTCTTTTTTGCAGTCCTTAATCTGTGGAAATGCACTCTTCCTTGTGGTAGAGTGTATCATGCTGCTGCTGCTGCTGCTGCCGTGGTCGGTGTGTTTGGTGTGCATCAAATTTTATGTGGGTGGTACATGTTAAACGAATATCTGCACAAATGCCACAACCCAAGGTTTCCCAGCAGAGCGCTATATTGTGCTACAATGATCGATGTTATTCACTTCACTTGGTTTTATTGTTGTGGCTGATCGGTGAATATGATGCAGATAAGTAAGAGAGTTCATGCAAAGTTTCCTGCTTACAACGATGCTACCGATACCAGTCAAAGACATTAGATTGTTAGAGGGCCCAGCTTTTTCATTTATACCCATTTTCTACTTCTTGTCAGGGTCCCGGTCATGGAGGAAGCGATCTAACCAGTTCTAATATATTTATGTTATTTGGGAAATGCTTCTATAATTGTGTACGCCTGCTGTCTCATTTGCAAGTTAGATGAGGCTGGCAGAGTGGTGATCATAAAGAAACAAGCTGGTGATTACTAATGCACTGTTTGTCTCAGTTTTCATTCATTAAGATTCTGACGATGTGCTGTCAGCACTTTGTAATCCAGAAACTTTGGAAAATGGACACGACAACTCACGCGCACATTTACAAACACAGCATGGTTTCAGTTGGACTGGTGTTTATTTAGTTGTCTGTCATTTCATAATGTGTATGTTCAAATACTGTCACAATTTATTTATTATTATTTATTTATTTATTTAAACATAATCCCATAAAATAATAGGACACGTTAACATAATTTTAAATGTAATATTTATTTTTAATACTTGACTGCAAAGCATGCAAGCAGTTTCCTCCCTTGAGATGCTCTGCCAGGCCTTTACCTCAGCCACCTCCAGCTGGTGCTTGTTTGTAAGTCTCTCTGTGTTTATGAACCGTGTTGGGCTGAGATCAGGTGACTGACTTGGTTTGCACTTTGTTGTAAACTGTCTGTATTTTCATTCATGAAAGTGTCACTTGACTTTGACAATGATTCAACTATCTCCAATGATAATATAACCATAATCTACTTTAGTCTTTCAGGGATTTGGGTGTTGCTGAGCTGGCCAGAACATTGTTAGGAATATACCAGATAGTAGATTTGGCCCCTCATAAAGTTTTTGCTATGTCTCTTATAGGTTTATCTGGGCTTATCAGCCTAAACCCCGCCATTCACTTGCATCAGCATTTCTTTGGAGCCCATATTTAAAGTTCAAAGGTACTGAACGCAATTTTAGTACTTAAAATCGACTCGAGATCTTTAATTTGTCATAGACTAAATTAGGAAAAAGCCTCACTGAGCTCAGCCTCACCTCACCCATGAAACTGTTTGTCAGTTGTTAAATGTCTTAGACATTTGTCAGGTCATGGACAGTCCAGATTGATTATCTCTTGCCTTTGACTAACCTTCTCTTTCTGAGGCAGATGCAGTTTGAAGGTGTTTTTCTGATTCTGGTAATATGAGAAGCTTTTAGGCTCGCTCTACAGGCTGCTGTTCATGCTTGAAAAAGATGCAAAAAGCAGAAATAGATATCTTGGGAGGTGAATCGCCAAACTGAGGAGTCTATTTGAATAAAGCATATATAACATAGTGCATATGGTTCAGTAAGCACATGTGGCACCCTCTAACTTTGTCAAACTGAAATCACCAAACTTGTTGATGACAGATTAGGATATGTCAGCCCTCTCTGCTGTTTCTACAGAGACTGGTTATTGAGTTCACTCAATAGGCCCAACTAACACGTGCCCATTTGCAGGCACTGCCCTTTTTCTCACTTTAGCCTTTTCACTGTCTTTTCTTTTTCACTTCATACCTCCTTTTATAACTATTAGTGTTTGTTCTCATCCGGACAGACTTATCAGTATGTGAGGCCTATCTCCTAGAGCTTAACCACCTGCTTCAGAGTATGGAAGTAATTCACCGGACTTATTCTGCTCCATCCATCCAAGCACTGCAGGTCAGCACTGCAGTATTTCTGGTTACTTTACATGCAGGGTAACTTTTCTGATGATACAAAACATTATTAAGTTATTTTCTGTTGACCTTAACTCACCTCTTATTAAATATAGAAGATATTTCATCTTGCATCTTGCTCTGGTAGTTGTGAAACCACTTTCCATAAAAAGCCTTCCTTTAAAGACAAAAAAATCCTCACTGGCCTGACTGTCAATAATTTCACATCTGCTTTCTTAGGCGTCTACTTTTGACAGCCCCAAAAAAGAAAAGAGACTTCCAAAGAAGTGGCGCACTAAAAACTACAACAAAGATGTCAAAACAACTCTGCAGGTAGACAACATGACAGAGAAGTGTGATCATGCTTAATTTGTTTTTATATTTCCTTGTGAGTATCTCCAGTTTTTCTTCCTGCTCTGCTCTAGGTACCGAGCTGCATCTCCTCTGGCTCTATCCGCCTCCATGCCTCAAACCCCAACCTATCCACTGCTGCACTGAGCAATGATAAAGCCGATCCTGAATCCCTGGACTCCCCTTTTGATGTGGCCAAGCTGCAAGAAGACTTCTGTCGTGTTGCCACCAACTGTGAGTGAAAAACTCTAGTTTCAGATAAAACTCTGTAAAGCACACATTTTTTAAATTCCTCAATCTGCTTCCGATAAATCTGCACGAAAGCTAAGACTGGTGTGGTGCTGCTACTTCTAACAAGTTGAAGTGTTAGTTGCTGTTAGTTATGTGGATGTCTTCTAGCTGATATTAGGTCAGAAGTTTGTTTTTTGTGCCACAAAACCTGTTAAATCTCTTTGTAAGGAAGTGGTTGACGCATAGAGGATGAATATAATTTTCCTTCTGTCCTCTTTGGAATTTTCTATGCAGATTCTTGGTGCTTGACATGGAGTAATGAGATTCATTTGTTTTTTACATAATGGCTTTACAGTTTCAAACTTACTCCGGAGAACTGCTGTCAGTTCTGCTGCTATTTAAACTAACGAATTTATGCACACATTTAAAATTATGGAGCTAAAGATGTGTGATGGGCTTAATCATTTATAATGGCAGGGTTTTCCAAATAATGATCTTTTTGATTCCCTCTTTTTGTGTCTCTTGTTGCTGCCAGTGCATACAACCATGAAGGCGGCCCTGAGCACACTGACATCAGAGAGAGAGAGATTAAAACAATGCCTGGATCACGAAACCTGCCCCCCCACCTCTCCACAAGTTGTAAATTTGAAGAACACGCTGGCTGCGGTATGTGAAATAACACACCCCCTTGCACATTTTTTGCAAGCGGATGTTTTCAACAGAAATAGGTATTAGCTATTCTCCTTTTTTCTTCCTTTTTTAATTTTTTTTTTGCTTTTACACTTCTCTCGTATGTCGTGTCCTCCCACACCATTTGTCAAGCGTGACACATTTACGAGTATTTTAGAGGGATTACTAGCTGCCGGTATGATGTCAGCCCCCCTAAATGAGACCGCATTCAACAGTCATGTTTCCTGTGGCTGCTGCCTCCCACCAGAGGCTTGTTTTTCTGTTTTCTGTCTTTGGTTGTACATGTTCATTGTCATGTAGTCAGCGAAGAAATGTGTTGGCGTCGAGACCGCGCAAATTCTAATGCGGCACAAGTATTTCTTTACACATTCAGATTTGTGTGGTCTCTGCTATAGTCTGCTGGATTTTAGATTTTAGCTTTTCTTATTGGTTTCTCTGGTTTGCTTACTCTGTTCCACTTGACATAATAACAGGTGATAGCATGCCTCTCCAGTACGTAAATGAGTAAATGTGACGTTTACTGATTTTCTTGAGATTACACAACTCCAAATCAGCCGGGTTTTGATTTATGCTGAGGATTTCAAGGCTCGGGTGTTTGCAGTAAACAGTGTTTAAACTGGTTATTTTTTCCAGGCTTTAGCCCAGAACTCAGAGCTGAGAGAACGCCTGTGCAAGATTCATGCTGAGTCCCAGATCATAGAGCCCACACTAATAACGCTCACTGCCCCTGTGCAGGTGGGTGCAGGAATGCAGTGACTCGATTCCCCCACCTTCATGACGATTATTCTTATATATCTGTCTTTATTTTTATCCCCCGCAAGCTTGAATGTGCCACAGAATGAATGAGCTGTCCTTTTCCTCTCATCTAGAATCAACAAATGTCACTCTCCTCTCACCCCCTCATCCAGCTCAGTCAATATGAGAAAAATTAACAGAACTTTCTTTTGGGGAACACTGCCTCTTCCTCTCAGCCTCGTCGTTGCGTAACCAAATGTCTCACCATGACACGGTTCAGAAGAAGGCTTCTAGCTCCATATAATCGTCTTCTAAAGGAAACTCTTTGCTCGTTTAATAGGATTTGCTGATCACACAAAGCGAGCCGATCTGCTTAATTGTGTCCCTGGAAACACGCAGAGCAAAACTAATACGCCTCCTCTGAGAACATCTCCATGTTAATTAATCAGCTTCACCAATAACAAGGGGTAGATTGGGACGCTCAAGTCCATGTGTGGAAAGCTATCTCATATTGGCAATCAACTGCATGCTTGTCAGTTATTTTCTGAGATGTGTGCAGGGCAGGCATGCAGCCTCACTTCTCACTGTAATTATTCTTGCTTTATGTAATACAGTAGTATATTGTCAGGCAGTCTCTAGGTAGGAATAAATTGTCTTATGAAATTTTGATTCTGAAGAGTTCATGTTTTCAGCAGTTCATCATTTGGCTTATTTGACTGATAACAGTATGATTGAATGCAGACACACCCATGTTGAGACACTATGCACACGACTGCATAATGTCACTCAGCTGTTTGTTAATGTTTATAAACCTACATTTGTTAAATCAGTGAAGAAATTAAAAAAGTGTATGACGGGTGTGATGTCAGCCAATATATTTACGTATGTTTTATAAATGACTGTCTTTCAATATATTGCAGATTAAATTTGTGGGTGTTGTGATTGTCATACTCTGCATGTTGTGATTGTGTTGTATTCTCAATGACACTGTGATTGCCACCCCGGGAATGATGGCGGGGCCCCTTCCTGTGTTCTTATTGTAGCTGTGGACATTGTTTCTCTTAGAAACAGGAATCAGTAGATGAAGCCCATCCCCTCGTACACCAAGTATCCAATGAGAGCAGAGCTTCAATCGCGGAGTCTTTGTCCGAGTTCTTTGACGCACAGGAGGTTCTGTTATCTGCTAGCTCTTCTGAAAATGAGGTAAGTGTGGAGACTAAACTCCTCGTTGTCAGTAGTTGTGATGTTGGGTCTTTTTGCTTGTAGCAAACTGATGTTTAGAGCTACATAATAGAATTATCATTGCTGTTGATGTTTGGAGTAATTTGTCTTGTTTACACAAGCACAACCAGAACAAAACCTCCACCAGTGGCTCTTACTTTATTTATTGCCTGTCACCCAGGATTTCTTCACTTTTGTCTCTGTGTCTGATAACTGGCCTAAATTTTGTAAGCACACTGGACAATTCATGGTATTTTATTACAAAAAAGGGGGAAATGCCATTTAACTTAACGTCCTGTCTTAAATGCATTTTTTTATGATATGTGTCATAAAACAAATCTGCCCTATGTTAGTTCAGCCTCCTCTTCCTTCAGTGCTCATGTGGCATGCTTGATGAGGTAGCACCTGGAGCGGAAGCAATATGAAAATGAAAGTTAATTACTTTCATCTAAAAATACAGCGAGCCGAGGTGCAGCTCTGCCACCATGTCCTAAGAGAACCTTCATCTCCACCACTTTAGATCTTCTGCAGATGTGACAAGATGTTAAAAGAGACTCGTTCATTCGCTTTTTGTCAGTGATATTAAAACAACTTGAATGTTTTGTTTTTTTTAGGTATCAGAGGATGACTCGTATATCAGTGACATTAGTGACAACATTTCCATGGACAACTTCAGTAATGAGACCGAAAGTGAAAGACCAAACTCGGGTAAAGTCATTACAGTACTAGCCTTGGGACACTTTTATGCATTTATATACAAATGATATTTTGGTACACTGGGTTGTCGGTATGTATTATCAAGGTGTCCCTAACCTCAGCTCTTATACCGACTCTTTTCAGGCTCTGTGGAAGAAGGCACTGTTCTTTATCGTCGTAGATCCTGTCTGCCCACACCCAGCCCAAGCAACACCTCCATCAGCTTGTGGAACATCCTTAGGAACAACATAGGCAAAGACCTTTCCAAGGTTGCAATGCCTGTGCAACTTAATGAACCCCTCAACACCCTGCAGAGACTGTGTGAGGAGCTGGAGTACAGCGAGCTGCTAGACAGGGCCGCCAACACACAGGACCCTTTTGAACGTATGGTGAGAATGCAGTTTTGCTCTTTGAGTGTGTGGGCTGGGCCTTTTTTGTTCAGCTTACTTGTTTGCTTTGATGATTCCTCTGAGAAGAAGAGCTGCTGTTGGTAAAACTAGCGTGACAAGTAAGAGATGCCGTATATAGCCAAGTAAACTAGCGCTAACGCACAATTGTTGCTGATTGGCTTTCAGGGACTGCGGTGCGCTGCCTTTACGTGAGAGAGTCTGATCTACCTTTAAGATTTTTAGCAGGAAGACGCCATGATGAGCTTTGCACTGACTAACTTTGTTGTTTTTTGAGATATACCCTGTGGAATAAGACAAATAAGACATATGCACAACATACAGTAAATACGTTCAGCAGTCACTTTATTAGGTATACCCTGCTAGTACCAGGTTCGACCCCCTTTTGCATTTAGAACTGCCTTAATTCTTCATGGCATTGACTCGACAAGATGCTGGAAACATTCTTCAGAGATGAGGGTCAATATTGCTATGATGCCATTACACATGCTGAAGATTTGTGAATGTCATTATCCACCACATCCCAAAGGTGTTCTATTGCATTGAGCTCTGATGACTGGGGAGGTCATTTGAGTTAAGTGAACTCACTTTCATGTTCAAGAAGCTGGTTTGACATGATCTGACCTTTGGGACATGGCACATTAATCTACTGGAATGAGCCATGAGAGGATGAGTAAACTGTAGTTATACATTATGAATATAGCCAGCAACAACACTCGGGAAGGCTGAAGCAATGCTCAGTTAGTCTTATGGAACCCAAAGTGCGCTAAGAAAATATCCAGTACACCATTTCATTCTGGACCCATGTGATTTACGTCGAACCAGGCAACATCTTTCCGATCGTCTATTGTTCGATTTTGCTGAGCCTCCGTTTCCTGTTCTTAGCTGACAGGTATGACACATGGTGCGGTCTTCTTCTCCTGTAGCCCATCTGCTTCAAGGTTTAATGATGTGTTGTGCACTCGTAGATGCGTGTCTGCATACCTTGGTTGTAAGAAGTGGTTATTTCAGTTACTGTTGCCTTCCTATCAGCATGAAGCAGTATATATATTCTCCTCTGACCTCTGGCATTATCAGTTCTTTGCAAACCCCAGGAAACGTGTTTGTAGGCAAATCTCAATCGGCACTTTGCAAAGTACTCAGATCTGTCATCAACAACCTTCAAAACTCACCTAAATCCCCTTAATTCCTCATTCTGATGATCACTTTGAACTTCATTAGGTCATCTTATTCAGTCACTGAGTTGCTGCCATGTGATTGACTGGTTAGATATTTGTATTAACGAGCAGTTGACTGGGTGTGCCAAACAAAGTGGCTGGCCAATGTAAGTGTAAAAAGGAAAAGCAGCTGATGTTAGACTTGGTGCAGTACAAATACTGACAGTTTATTAATCCTATGAGGGGCAATTTGTTTGGACTAACGAGTTATAAAACAACACATGAAGACAAATAAATGAATGAAAAAAATTGTGCTGAATTTAAAAAAAAGGCCATAAATAAAATCCATAAACAAGCTCAATAAATACCAATATAAAAGTTCAAATAAGACCTTGACAAACAATGTTTAGACCTACAGAGGATCACATAGTGAAATTGCAAACGGGCCGAAAGCTCCAGGCTGTGGCCTCTCATTATGAGGTAGAGAAGCTATCAGTGCTCTGTCGGTTTACTGAAACTACTGGAGGACTATTCAGACACTTACTCTGCTCATTAGGCTAAAAAGAAGAACACACATATACGATTAAATGAAATGGATGATAGAGCTCAGTTCAGTGTTCACTCAGTCACTCATCCTGTAATAAAAATTAAAGTGGTACTTGCTGCTCAGGTTTATGCTTTTATCCTTTTTTGTAGATATACATCGCTACATTTGTTGTGTCCGGTTATGCATCCAGCTACTACAGAACTGGGGGAAAGCCTTTCAACCCTGTTCTTGGAGAAACATATGAATGTGACCGACCAGATAAAGGCTTACGATTTGTTGCAGAGCAGGTATGAATGATTCTTGATTTGTTATCTGACTGGATTCATATGAATATTTACATTTTTATGTTTTATTGTATAGCACTGTTCAAAAAAGTCAACTCAGAGCTCTTTGTGTGATTAACAAAGCATTTTAATCCCCTTTACATCAGGTCAGCCATCACCCACCAATCTCAGCTTGCCATGCAGAGTCTAAAAACTTTGTGTTTTGGCAAGGTACTGGATTATTGATTTTGATCCATTCTCAGTGATCTTAAATACTAGAATAGCACCTATTGTCTAGAAATAATGTTCATTTGTTCAATTCTTTTGCAGACGTGAGGTGTAAAAACAAGTTTTGGGGAAAGTCAATGGAGATTGTTCCTGTGGGGACCACTCATGTAACTCTGCCAGGGTGAGTCTCTTCTGCCTCATTTACATTGGCGCTGCACAGACCCCTGCCTGGGCATTGTGCAGACGTTTAGAGAAAATCACGCAGCGGGGGTGTAGCACGATTCACAGTATTTTTCCTCTCCTGTTCTTTTTCCATTCAGATCAATAACAATTCCCCATTCTTCATCTGTGGTGGAAAAAATGTTTTCATATTTTATTTTTGTGTCAGAACCACATACAGATACAGATAAATCATTTATATTATAACTCTAATATGTAACAGTGTCCATATATTTTATTTTTTTCTTCTTGAAAACGACAGATTTGGAGACCATTACGAGTGGAACAAAGTGACCTCTTGCATCCACAACATTCTCAGTGGGCAGCGCTGGATCGAGCACTATGGGGAGATCACCATCAGAAACTCCAGCAGTGATATATGTCAGTGCAAGATCACTTTTATTAAGGTAAGGTAAACATATGCAAGGCATCATCCAGCCTGATGGCCTCTATAACAAACTCTGACAACATTTATAATGCAAAATCTTCAGGAACAAGACCTTATTTGCAAGTTTTAGTGACTCTTTTATTATTATGTCATTTATCACAGTCTCATTTCAAACCTCTTTCATCTACTGTCAGACTTTAAATCAAATAAAAACTTTCTAAAGATGCTTAATTTAAATCATCCATTTGTATTTATGCACTACTTGTACCATACACCATAGAAATCTTTAGGTTGTTACACAATAAACATAAAATATGCCTGTTGTACTAAACAGAAAAACAGTGAACACATGAATTAATATTTAAGTAACATTTACATAAATATGACATGAATAAACTGAACATGCTAATATTTTCATTAGGAGTGACCAGAAAGGACAAGATTAGAAATGTATCAGAGGAACAACTCAAGTTGAATGAATTGGAGATAAGTGAGATGGTTTGGACAAGCGCCGAGGAGAGATGGTGAATGTATTGGTCGAAGGATGTTAAATATGGAACTCCCAGGCAGGAGGAAAAGAGGAAGACCACAGAGAAGATTTATGGATGTAGTGAAGGGTTGGTTTGTCAGACGAGGAGGCTAGGGATCGAGGGAGATGGAGGCAGATGAGTCGCTGTGGCTCCCTAAACGGAGCAGCTAAAAAAAGATTACATGAATAAACTTACCACATAGCTACATTTATAAACGACATCTAAAACACAAAGGCAGATTAAATTGTATTTGGTGTGATTGCATTGTCGCATCACCAGATGCATTATTCATTAATGGCATACATTTCTGAAAACCCCAAAGTAATCTGTAACAATTAGAGTGAAGTAGAGAACTGCACTGAAGATTACTTTGCAGGACCACGAAAAGTAAATTATTTCTGAAATAGAAAATAGGATTTCTTTGTTTTTTTCTCCAAACAATTTGGTTTTGGAAGCATGTTGGATGAATATACTGTAGTCACAAATCAGTTTATGAAAGGTGCACTACTGTGAGGCGACAGTCTTGTTTCATATTCATACCAGAGTGCTTTTCTGTAAAAGCAATCAGCCATAATGATGGCTACCACATTAACATGTCCCTCTATGAATCTCAGGGGCTTGTAGACTGATCAGCAACAACATTAAAACCAGCTGCCTGTCCATGTTGAACTGTCAGAGCTTTCGGGGCTTTTAGCTGGGGTCTCTATGTATCCCACATTTGACTGATCAAACTGACATCTTGGAAATGTGGAAATGCTTGACATGGATAAGATCAGATTTGCTTTACTTATCTGAAATGTTTAGAAATAACTATGTGACGGCAAAAATAACTCAATAACTGAAAAGCTCAATAGAGTAAATATATCACAAGCATGGAAAGGAAAGAAACGTAACTAAGGTACACTAAAGAAGGAGGGCGCTTAATAAAAAATTGATGAACTCAATCAAAATCTACATATAATAAAAGATAAGGATCTTAATTTATAAAAATCTATTGGATAAATGCAGGTATGAGGTATGAGGTGTACAAAATGTTCTGCATTTGTCCTCGCGACAGCAGAGGTGAAACAGATATTAGAGAAAGTGGTCCACTGCCTGCCCAGTAAGTGGTGCAGATGGGGTCCAGGTTATCCATTACTTATCTACCATAGCCACAGTCATTTATATAACCTCTGCGTTACCTGATGGAGGAATCTACAAAGTGTGTTTATCCAAACTGTTGCTCTTGCATCTATACAGATGGTGTTTTTCACCTGCATGCCAACAAAACCCAACAAACAAATGATTTTTTTTTCTCCTTTTTTAACTATGGAGTCATTTGCCAAGAGGAGAAGGTTCATTGCTTTAGTTTGCGTCACTTGAAAGACCTCGCGAAGCTGTGCAGTATAAGTCAAGACATGCCAGAACACATTATGCATCCTCATCTCTCATTAACCCTCTCAGGCTCAAATTAAGATTTTTTTTGCTAATGCACAACTAAGTCCTGCAGTGGTACTTCTGAGTAAAAAAATATGTATGTGGGGTAATCAGGTTGTTAGTTTTTAACTGTTGCAAATCGGCAACGCCTGCCTCGAGAGGGTTAAACACACCGGCCCAGCAACACAAACACACTGGGGATCAAATGGTTGACGCAAGAGCAACATCTGCTGACTGCAAGAGACACTGTCGTGGGCTATGTGCATTCTTTCATACTCACCCACTATAACACGCTGCTTTTTTTCTAACAGGCCAAATACTGGAATTCGAGTGTAAATGAGATAGAGGGGACTATCACAAATAATAAAGGAAAGGTTATCCACCGACTCTTTGGAAAGTGGCACGAAGCGGTTTTCTGTGGAGACCCGCCTTCAGCTACATGCATCTGGAGAGCAAGTATGAAAGTCTCTCAAAATTAAGTAGAAAAAAAACCCTCTTCAATAATGCGTCTCCCTGTTATAGCTTCTCATGCTGTTGATGTCACTTGTGTACAATATAGATGCAATGCCAGTAGACCATGAGCAGTACTATGGCTTTACGAAGTTTGCAATTGAGCTGAACGAGTTGGACCCATCCCTGAAACTGCTGCTACCACCTACAGACACGAGACTACGAGTGGACCAAAGGTAAGAGGAAAAAAGTGAAAAACATTAAAAACCCATTAGTATATTTCCATGCACTTACGCAGCCTGGTGATCGTCAGCTTAATTTTAATAAATGTCAGTGAGAAACATACAGGGGGAAAAGGTTAAAAACGAATTTAGATATAACATCTAATTTTCCTGCCAGAGGACTGTCAGACATAGCTGAATTAAAAACCAAAGCATTGCCAGTGAGTATCTAAGCACCACACCATCATTGATCTCAGTCACGTCCTGAAAAATGCACCTTGTGATCAAAAAAGTACAAAAATAGGCACTCGCGTTAAGAATAGTACGCAACTGCACGCCCTTTCAGGCTATCACAATCAAACTAATTTTAGCTCATCTTTTAAGTTTTTTAAGTCTGCAAACTAAATGCTGCTGCCCCGAGGTGCTGGAGAAAAAACGAAGCTCTCAGTACTTTGCCATCAAAGTATGAAGCTGCACTGCTTCCAGCTCTGCAAATAAGTGGTTATGTATTCTCCTTTTTAGCCCAAGCTCCACCGTCTTACAACGATCCAGAGGTAAAGTAAAATCAGCAGCCAATTTATATTTATATTATACCAGTTCTCTTAACTGTAGGCTTATTTACTTTTTTTGTTCAATATTTTGTCATAAATAATAGGAAAATGTATAGATTTCTATAAATTAAAGTGGAACAGGCTCACCGCCTTTACGTATACAGACTGTTTATGCCCACGTTGGAAATAACCCTGGGACAGGGCCATTCAAAAACAGGAAAACCCCTAAAGTTCACTCGAAATGAGAAGACGCGAGTGAAGATTATGTTTGAATGTGGAAGATTAATGTTTTAAACATCTGCATAATGAATGTGTCTGGGTCTCATCGGCAGACTGCTGGAGGAGGGGAAGTTGGAGGCTGCAGAGGAGCATAAGCAGAGGATTGAACAGCTGCAGAGAGACAGACGGAGAGTCCTGGAAGAGAACAATGCAACACATCAGCCTAAATTTTTCAGGTACCCTGAGTATCTAAGCTTAAAACTTTCTCACCTAGAAAGTCACTTATGGAAAAGTGACCACATCTCCGCTCCTAATGGTGTTACACAACTTGTAAATCTGTCGTTGACAGTGTTAATTGCAGTTGTGCGTCTTTTCTGTCTCCACAGGAAGGCACAGGACGATACCTGGGTGAGCAACAACACGTACTGGGAGCTGAGGAAAGACCCTGGCTTTGCCCATGTAGATTTCCCTACACTGTGGTGACCGTGTGCTGCAGATCATACAAACATTTGGACCTGCACAGCCTCTACTGTGATTTGTGATCCAGACTGGTTCTGGTGATGTCTGTATCTCATTCTGACCATCCACATTCTGTACTGGAGTTCATCAGAGTTATTGCCTTAATAGCAAGTGCTTATCTGAGTTGTATAAACACATTTATGCAAACATATTATGAGAATGTTGCTCAATTTGCAGTAGGCCAATTTCATTTTTTTGCCTGCATTCCACATATTATGTTGTGCTAAACCACTTAAACTAAGAAAAGGAAAGATCCTTGGTATGAAGGATGAGAAGAAGAGTTTCATAGTTTATCTACACTAGCTTAAAATGTACTGATCAACTGGTTATGTTGGTTGTTGTCTTACCATGGACATTCTCTACCTCTGAGATAAACTAGCCTCGCTACGCCATTGATTCAGTGTAAACATCCGATATTTATTCTGCATCTGCCTGATGCCTTACTGGTTGTACTCAAACTTGTTTAATTTATTTTGTTGTACCTGCCAGATGTTTAAAAAAATAAAACAAAAGTCTATGTTTCGTAAGGAAATCTTGCTAACAAAATATTGTGCAAGCGATCTCCGAATCCTTACTGAAGTGATTTTTCTGTCCGTTATGAGTAATTACTGCTTTTCGCTATGAATGTGTGAATGATTGTGCAACTATGAGCAGCTGTAGCAAACTCAGTCATATCTTTTTCACTTTATTCAGCACACCATTGTCTATATGGACCCTGGGCTTTGGGGCCAAAAAAAAAGGGAAAAGAAATGTCCAAAAACTATGCTCCATGAGCTCAAATAAAATTTCTGATTGTTTTCTTTTTTGTTGAGTCTTTTGTGATTGTTTGTTCAAAAACACTGAAAGCAAATAGACAGTTGAAATAATTCCCTCTCATCTCAGATGATGAGTTGGCAGGTAGATAGCCTGATTATAATTTTGGTGCATAAAGGAAAAATGCAATTAATTTTAAACATGATGGGTCAGGAATGCCACACGAAAATGCCATTTAGGAAGCTATGAAAAGCAATTGGGGTATAAACACTAGGTTTACTGGGAATGTGAAGCAGTTCCCTGCTTCTTACTATACATATTCCTTAAGTGAAGTAGCAACTCTTAAAGGACTGGTAAAAGATCATCTGCTAAATTATAGAATTTTTTGCTCGGGGCTGCACTTCATCCCTTTAAAATGTTCTTGGCTTTATGGGTTAAATCTCAGTGCCATCTAAATGGAAACCTGTGCATGATACTTTCCAATGAATATCCTGCAGTATACAGTAGATATGTGGCTACGTTTCACAAGTGTTGAGTGAATTGTTCCAATCACTTTAGAAACAGCCGTATGTGTTTGACGAAAAGTGTTTATGGCTTGTTTTTGCCCGTCCTGCTAAGCAATGACCAGAGTTCAAGGTTAATGAGCAATTATGGAGCCGTGCAACAAGTAAAGGTTATCATTTATAAATAACGAATGCAGGAATGTTGTGAGAGTCATGTTGATGAAAAGAGTAAGATACCGCTAGTGATCCTTAGAGCCTGTCTGCATTTTTGACATCCTACAATATGATAAATGACTTTGAAAAAGGGCTCCTTGAGTCCACCTATTCTCTTTTGTTTTCTATTTTTATTTTACTCTAATAATTCACTGTAGTATAGTTTGTTTGTATTCTTTTTCTTTGTTTTGTTTGTTAATCCACGCTAGCGAACATGGGCTCATCAGATTGCTGGGTGATCTTAAACAGCCGCTAGGTGGCGACAAATGCAAATGAAAGCGGACTACTGATAATCTGTTTTTACAAAAGTCCCCTATAAAATATTGTCACTGGTCAAATAGGACTGAATAAATTATAATGCAGAGCAGTAGATACATCAATGCAGTGTAATTAAGATACTTGTAAAATAGGTTATTTCTTTATTTTATATATATATAGTCCCTACATAAATCCAGTTGACAATTTACCAGTACAAGCAAATATAGAAGAGACATTATTATTATTATTATTATTATTATTATTATTATTATTATTATTATTATTATTATTATTATTATGATAAGCTGGATTGTAAGCGTACAGGAAGAAAGGCCATATATGCCATATATGTTTCGGCCTCTCCTACCGTGCAGAGGGCGGAGCCTTTTGTCCAAAACAAAGAGTGCAGGAAACCAGGCTGAGCTGAGCTACCACAGAGGAACTGACTCCTGTAAAAGTCTGACCACTGGGGAGTTTCTCTTGCAGGTCACCAATAAAGCGAAGACTCCGTGGAAGCGGTAGGTGGAAAATTAGCCAGATTAAAAAAAAAAAACTAGCATATTTCGTCTTATCTACAGTGACTGCTGCACCGATGGACTTTCGGTTTCCATAATAACCGGTGCTTTGATTGTTGTCGTGCAGCCTGGAGGTTTTAAATGTAAAGAGCTGTATGGTGTCTACTATGTTTTTGCTTGAAATAAGTACAGTGGCTGAAGTAGGAAGTTTATTTGTGTTTAGTCCTAAGGAGGAGCTCACATGGGTGAGGTCTTCTGTAGCTGTGTAGTAAACGCCTCCCCTCTCTTCTCTCGCTTTCAAAGCTTTATCCAGCCGAAAGATGTTTGCTCTGGCTACCAGAAACTTTGTGGAGGAGGTGGAAGATAACGGGTCCCTGATCCCAGTGACCAGCCTGAATGACACCATTGCTCTCCTGACGGTGGTGGTGAAGCGCAGGCGTTTCTGGTGCTGGCAAAAGTCCAAATATCTTCCCACTGATTTTAATCTCAATGATATACTAACAGGAGACACACCCATAAAGCCAGGTAAACCTCAAAAGCAGCACGAAAATGGCCGCATGTGTCACAGTTTACTCTCCCGAGATCACAGAAATTAGATTTTTTTTTTTAATATATTTATTTACCTTTTGCAGTTGTGGTTGAGACAGACTTCATCAAATACAGTGGGACATTTAGTGACAACATTCAGGGAACTGTGGATGCAAATTTTTCCAAATACAGCATTAAACTTCAGGGTGAAGACTCATCCAAACTCCAGTCATCTTTTGGAAGCTTGAAGAAAGAGGAGATTGATATGCAGAAGTTGCTGCAAGACTCAAAAGACAAGTTGGTTCACAATCTGTACCTGGTGTCACATGTAAAGTTGTTTCAAACACTCTAAACATCACCTGACGATCAGCATGTTAAAGATCACATAAGTGATCTTTGTCCAGCTGTAAAGTTTCACACAAAACACGATGCCCGGTTGAATATTAACGCAAGAAAAGATGATGTAGGATAAGTCACAATAAAATTTTGTTTCCAAGAATGTTCCTGGTGAAACTCACCACATTTTTCTTGTGTTAGGGTTCTGGACATGTCCCACTGTCTAATCCAGCAGACAAAGGAGAAGCAAAGACGGGTATTTGGGATTGTAAAGGATCGTATTGTAACCACTCAACCCTGTTCAGTCATAGAGGAGGTGCAGCAGGGAGGACAGTGTGGGGGAAATCTGAGCACCTGTGGCCCCAAGATGACTAAGGTACAATATCAAACCTCGTATCAGACCTAATAGTTGCTGGTATTTAGGGTTCGGTCAGTTTTTAAAGTTGCTAATACATTCCTATATTAAGTCAATAAGCTAAGTTCACAATACAAAATTCATAGGTCCTGTTGCCAGGTGAGCAATACATGTGCTGCTTTTACCCGGATGAGTTTCAGATCTGCGTGTGCCAGCTTTGCGTGTACATTTTGAAAGCAGAAGAGAATAAGAAGAAGTGGAATAAATCTTGCCCACTATGCATGAAACAGTTGCATTGTGGTTCCTCTTCAGAATTTAGGTCCTTCATTTATCCTCGGTTTTTCCTCTTCATTTCCAGAAATCAAAACTGGGAATTTATTGTTTATGTTCTAGCTACATACAGTACTGTGCCAAGGTCTCCAGACAGACTTGACATTCAAGGCTCTTCCTTGGATGTTGGCTGCCTCTTTTTCTGTTTTCTGCCAGGATGATCCCACACTGCTTCAATAACGTTGATGTCCGGGCTCTGAGGAGGCCAGTCCTTTTTGTCCTCCACTGGTCCAGTTTCCTTAGATTTTTTTTAAGGACACGGCACACCATACTGAGATGTGCCAAGCCTTCCACTAATAGCTCTTGGGTATCACCCTGTGTATGTCAAATTGTGTTATCTTTGATATATTTCCTACATTTAACCAAAGAAATGGGAACAGATTATGTGCTTTAACAGGCTGTTAGTAACAAAGTTATTAAAGGCTTTTTTTTTAAATTAAAGATGGATTCAGTTGTAAATGTTAAGTGGCTTAAAAAAAATAAAGTAAATAAATAAATAAAATTCCTCTGAAGGGTCAGGTATAAGGATTGGAATGAAAATGAGTGAAAAAGCAGCCAGTGTCCAAAGAAAAACTATCAAAAGACATTCAGAGAGCCTGGAGAACTGTTGCCTAAGACCACTTTAAAAAAAAAAATCACAAAAAAAGTGTGACTCCTTGGACCTAAAACTCAAGACCTTTGCAAAGTACTGTAGTTAAAACTATATCTTATATTAAATTCCACTATAACCTTAAAGAAAATATTGAATCTTTAAATAATTCTTTAAAGCAGATTAATATTTGTGACACTCACTGAGGAATTTTGTTGCCATTTGTTCTGATTCGGTGTTCCTGTTTCTTAAGTTTTTATTGAAGGAGAACGCAAGCTTGGGCAATGACAGTGACATTACCATGGAGATTCCTACCAACACTCCAATAGCTTATAGCCTTATAGAACTAAAGATCAAACACGATGGACAATATGGTGAGAAGTCATTTATTGTATTTGTAGAGTAACTGTCTTACTTCATGTTAATTTAACAAGAACTGATAAACTCAAAGTTATATTTAGTAATTGCAGGATCACCATCATTAGTTCTAGGCTATTGTTGGAAATATCCATGTTCTGTCTCCTTGAACTATCACGTGCATTTTCCACAGAGCTGTGTGTATTGTCAGGCACCAATGGAGGCTTTGATAAAGTTGATGGTACTGCTAGAATGAAAGACCAGCCGTCTATTTCAGGAGCTCCTGCACATTCATCTGACAATAGCTGCCTTCAACAAGGTAAATCACTGTTTTCGCCTCAGATTTCTTACCTTTTCCAGCAAAAAAACACACGATTGCATGCAGAGAAATGTCCTGCACACCAGAGCTGTAGAGCACATCAGGTTAGTATTTGTTTCTAAGGTTTTGTCACCACAGTGGAAAGTTTCCATGCATTATTACACTATAACTGAGCAACCGAGATCAAATGTTAGACTGAAAATGAGAGCATGTGATTGGCTAGTCTGTATGACCAGTTCTTATATATTGCATTCTGCTCTTTCCTCTGTGGATAGCTTCTCTCTCTGCTTTCCATTCTTTCCCATAACGCCAGAGTTATGGATATATCTGACAGCTCTGTGTTTTTTTACAGTGTTCCTTATGTTCTAAAAAGGACGCTCCTACAAATACTTGTAAAACTAACTGTGTCCACTCTTTGCAACAGAGCCTTGAATTTTTTGTGGCCTTAGATTCTTTGAAAAGGGCTCTATAAAAATACAGGTTATTATTATTTTTAATAGTATTATTTTTATTAGTAGTAGTATTAGTATTAAAAGTCTACCGTTGGGATTTAATATAGAGGTGCAGTGTTAGTTTTACAGCTGAAAGGTGTGAACGCGGATATTTTGGTGGCTAGCCTTGTTGAGGCGACCGTGGCTCAGGGGGTTGGGAAGCGTATCTGTACGGGTCGCCGGTTCGATCCCCGGGCTCTCTGTCCTGGTCGTTGTGTCCTTGGGCAAGACACTTTACCCTACTTGCCTAC